AGGAAGCCAGCTTGTTTGTCGGGCGGGATGGAGCACCGCGAATTGTTGCGGTCGTTCCCCTATGCCAGGATGGTGACGCCGCGGTCGCCATCAAGCAGTTGAACGAGAGCGTGGACATCGAGGCCGAAGTGGGGGAGACGCCGTTCAGAGTCTCCGTCGACAGATTCAAGCAGAAGGTCCAGTACATCCCTCTTAAGCGGGACCTGAATGCGGTTTTGGACGCCACCCGGGTCGCCGACTTTGTGGTGGTCATGCTCTCCGCCGACGTTGAGGTCGATGAGCTTGGAGAGCTGATGCTGAGGAGTCTGGAGAGCCAGGGTCTGTCAACCCTCTTCACCGTTGTCTACGGTGTGGACAAGATCGACCAAGCCAAGCATAAGCAGTCCACCCTCGGTTCCCTGAGGTCATACATCACCCACTTCCACCCTGAGCAGGAGAAGCTTTACCAGCTGGAGAACAGACAAGAGTGCGCCAACCTCATGAGGTCGCTCTGCAACACCACACCAAAGGGTGTCAGGTGGCGCGAGGACAGGAGTTGGATGTTGGCCGAGGACATCAAGTTCGCCAGCTCAGGACTTGACTCAACAGTCATCACTGGTGTCGTCAGGGGACGTGGCTTGAAGGCCAACCGCTTGGTTCAGCTGGGCGACTTTGGCACGTTCCAGATTGAGAAGATTACGAGTGCGCCGTTGCCCAAGAAGCTGAAGAGAGGCGAAATGGCCGTGGAGGAGACCGAGACCGAGGAGACTCTTGATACACCTGATGAAGACCAGGATGATCTGGCAGAGCTGGCCCCTGATGCGCCGATGGAAGACGACGAGATGGAAACGACTGAGCCGCCAGAGATCCAGAAGGGTGTGCTTCTCGACGACCACCACTACTTCAACGACGACTACTACGAGGCCGCGGAAGCCAAGACCAGAGTCCCCAAGGGAACGTCCAACTACCAAGCGGCATGGTACCTCGGCGACGACATGTCAGACTCAGGTTCCGACATGGAGGACTTTGAGATGCAGGACGGCGACTCTGAGGAGGATGAGGCCCGCCCCGAGGATGGTCTCGAGGGTGCCGCGCCCAGAGAGCCCACCGAGGGCGCACCTACAACATACGCACAGTCCGAGAAGTTCATCGAGCCGGATGAAGAGGAGGACGCGGCCGGTCTCGCCGCCTACCGCGCGCGCAAGACGGACGAGGTCGAGGACGACAAGGAATTCCCCGACGAGATCGAGCTGCACCCGGGCGTCCTCGCGCGCGAGCGCCTGCAACGGTACAGAGGTCTCAAGAGCCTCAGGACGAGCGAGTGGCTCGAGAGCGAAGACCGGGCCTACGAGCCCGAGGAGTGGCGCAAGCTCCTCCAGATCCCAGACTACCAGGCGTCCCGGTCGCGGTCCACCCGCGAGGCCCTCGTCGGCGGCGTCGCCCCCGGCACCCGCGTCCACGTCTACCTCAAGGGCGTCCCGGCGTCCTTTGAGAAGTCGCACCAGCCCGGCCGGCCGGTGACGCTCTTCTCCCTCCTGCGCCACGAGCAGAAGAAGACGGCCGTCAACTATCTGTTCAACCTGAGCGCCGACCACGACAAGTCCATCAAGGCCAAGGAGGAGCTCATCGTGCAGTGCGGCCCCCGCCGCTTCACCATCAACCCCGTCTTCTCGCAGCCGGGCAACACGCCTAACAACGTGCACAAGTTTGCCAGATACCTCCACCCGGGCCAGTCTGCGGTCGCGACCTTCATGGGTCCCGTCACCTGGGGCGCCGTCCCTGTCCTCTTTTTTAAGCGCACTGAGCCCACATCCGGGGACGCCGAGGGGGATTCTGCCCTCAACCTGAGGCTCGTCGGCACCGGCACCGCCCTGCCGTCGTCTACGAACCGCGTCATCGCCAAGCGCGCCATCCTCACGGGTCACCCGTACCACATCCACAAGAAGATCGTCACCATCCGCTACATGTTCTTCAACCGCGAGGACGTCGAGTGGTTCAAGGCCCTGCCGCTGTGGACCAAGCGCGGCCGCACCGGCTTCATGAAGGAGCCCCTCGGTACCCACGGATACTTCAAGGCGACGTTCGACGCTCGCATCAACCCGCAGGACTCTGTTGGTGTCAGTCTGTATAAGCGCGTGTTCCCGCGCAACGCAGTCCCCTTCGAGGGACCACTCCTCGAGGCGGGCGTCCCGGAGCTGGTTGAGGAGGGTGATGTGATGATGGAGTAAAAAAAAGAAGATATGGGCCATGGGAAAAAACATAAAAGTCAGACATGATGAGATGGAAATGCCAAAAAAGGGGTGCGCCCCGGGAAAAGAATGCATAGATATTAGCAGTAACGTCGGCTATAGATACAGGTCTGATGCCATCCTCCGGAGTTTTTTTGAAAAGAGAGATTCGTTCAACTTTTTTTTTGCATCAACCCTCACTTCTTACATTCGTCCAACGTGCCATCCCACCTATGACCTACCATTGTCCACCTAGTACTCAAGCCTTGAGGCTGTCAAGGCCCTCCGTAGGCCGCGGTCCACCCGCAGCCCTACGGTTCTCCTCGGCACCACTCGCCTTCCACGCGCTAAGCATGAGGTTGACAATGTGATCAACGGCAACATTCTTCTTCACCTGCGCAAACACAGTCGGCCCGCCCTCGCGCATCTTGCGCGCATCCCTCTCCATGACGCCCAGATCCGCGCCCACAATCTCAGCCAGGTCCGTCTTGTTCACAACCAGCAAATCGCTCTGCGTGATGCCCGGGCCGCCCTTGCGCGGGATCTTGTCGCCGCCCGAGACGTCAATGACGTAGATGATATAATCGGCCAGTTCGCGCGAGTAGTTGGCGGCCAGGTTGTCGCCGCCGGACTCGATGAGGAGGAGGTCTGCGTCGAACTCGCGGTGGAGGTCCTCGAGGGCGGCGAGGTTGGCCGAGATGTCCTCGCGCACGGCGGCGTGCGGGCAACCGCCCGTCTCGATGGCGCGGATGCGCGGGGCGGGCAGGGCCTTGTGGCGGGTGAGGAATTCGGCGTCCTCGCGGGTGAAGATGTCGTTTGTGACGGCGGCGATGGAGTACTTTTCGCGGAGGGCAAGGCAGAGGGCGAGCATGAGAGCCGTCTTGCCGGAGCCGACTGGTCTGGGGGTTTTGGGTATTTGTGTTAGCCTTTTTTGTTCGTATTCCGTTGCCATTGGGAATCAATCATGTCCAATTTGATACTGGGCACGCATGCCCAGGGCGCTTCTCGCAAGCCATTTGGAGCCACCCGAATAGGAGAGGATGAGTGGTTTTTGGACCGATCCAGACCTGGAATAGTAAATTAAACTCACCCTCCAATACCAATTGTGAAAGCACGATCGCTCCAGTTTCTGCCCTCGACAATGGGCATCTCACGGCCGAGGTAGCTTCCAGGACCGTCAAGAATCTCGTGGGAGTGGCCGTGCTCCTGGGCGTTGAAGCCGCCCTCGTGGGAGTGCGCGTGGCCATGAGGGCCGTCGTGTGAGTGCTCGTGAGACATGATTGTGTGAGAAAGGTATGAGTCGTGCTTAGATGAGAATTCTCCAAAACCGACTTCACGGTTGTACGAGGAAGGGAGGTTTGTGAAGCTGTGGCTTATATGGAGGAAGCTGTTGAAGAATGGCGGGGTTACGTCTGAGCACTGTCAAGGGATCGCGGGGTCCTGGACTTATCGCCAGCGATAAGATCTCAGCGCGTTGCGCCCGGGCGTAGGAGAGCTGATCCCCCCACGGCCGCCGCCGGCGCACTGAGTGCGGGGACACACCGCTCCGCCGGGTCCGCGAAAAGAGAGACTCCAGTAACGAGACGCAGCACTCGAATAGTACTGACAGATCGATCATCTCTGTCTCTGCAGCTGTTGGTTGTCGCCGTATCGAATGTCAAAAGTCCCACATGGGGTGAGCAGAGAATAGGTATCTCTCCTTGTGAAGCATCTTGTATTCGTGCTGCCGCCCGTCGTACTAGGGGCTGTAGATATGCTCATGCGTGAACCATGCACCAATCCCCTCCAACGCCTAAGATATGCATCGCGAACCATAAATCAACCATCCTATGTTCTCCAGTGTAAGCGCCTTTCACTCAAGCCTTGGCCGGCGAACCACCGCTCCCCTCATCCTTGGGCTTAGGCGGCTTCGGCACCCTCTCATACGCATTCGGGCTAGGCCGCCTCTTCTCGCTCCCCTCGCGACCAGCCTTCCTCCCATGCCCGTGGCCGCTGTGGTCGTGATCGTGGTCGCCGCAGTCGTGGTCATGGTCTCCCCGCTTACCGCTCTTCTTTCCTTTACCCTTACCCTTGTGGTCTCCTGAGGGTACCCTCCTACGCCCGCCGTTGGTGTCCGCCTCCGAGTCGGAAGAGTCGTCAGAGGAGTCCGAGGAGGACTCGTCGCTGGATTCGTCTACGCCTTTGGGGCGGTGGTAGATGCAGCAGACTGTCCAAGGTGCGTTAGTAAGTCATGCATGTGACGGTAAGAGTGGGAGAGAGGGAAGGTCAGCTCACCTTTTGAGCTCTTGCGTCCCAGGCCCTCGTTATCCACCACGTCTTCCGCCCATCGCACCGACTGCCTAGATGGAGCGTGGGCACCTCTCAGCCGTAGGATTGCCTGCGTGCCCGTCCTGCTCTGCGTTTCTGTCTGGGTCTGAGAGGGGCCTGGTGCCGAGCGCTGCGGCAAACGGTCTTGTAAACCCGCCATTGTAGTGAGAAATTCGGTACAGGGAAGTTTTGTGAACGTCGAAGGGTGGGGAGGTTTGTGTGGTCGTGTGGTCGTGTGATGCCGATGCAGTCACTTCTCTTCGCGGGGGCGCTTCTCACAGCGATGAACCCCCAATATTGTAAAGCTTGCTGGGACTTCTCGAATAGTGAACTTGATGCAGTCGCAAACCTGTAGCTGTTGTGCGTGTTGAGGCTTCTGTCGCGTGCAGATTCGTCACCCGGCGGGAAGATCGAGGATATTCAGGGGTTCGTGTATCCGTAGGAATTTGGCTTTTTGTAAGTTTGGAGGAAGGCAAACAGGGTGGGATGCTTTCTCAATCTTTATTTTTTCCTGGAGGGGCGGGAAAGAATGCGGGCGACGGTCACAGGCCAAACATGGAACCCCCCGATTATTCAGGTACAGCCTGGGCACGACCTGGGCGATTCAGTGCTACCAACCCCACGTCATTCCTTGAAGATCCACAGCCAAACGACAGCCAAGGCCCGGAGCCACAGCCGGGCCAGCCATTTCCAGGAACGCACCGGTACCGCGAGAAGGTTCCGGATTCGGTGATGGAAACGGTCCTGGGTGCCGGTCATTGTCAAGGGTTCATTCACTCCGTCATTCAGATTGCATCCAGGGTTGATGACACGCCGCGCATTGTTCACGCGTAAAGTGGTTTTGGGAATGGTCCATGCCATTAGTTATACATCAAAAACCAGCGACGCCTCTGTCCCGTTCCGCCCTATTTCCCTTATATTCGCCTACGAATAGTTTCGAAAATAAGTAGAAGTTAAAGAAAGACTAGAGACGAGGGAGACGCCTAGAGATAGGGGGCAGGTACAGAGACGGGGGGCGTGCTTAGAGATAATAGAAAAACTAAGGACGGATATGCTAATGGAAGTAGTAGACCTGTGTAGTAGAGTTGTGTGGTAAACTTATATAGTGAATGGCCGGTTTTCATTATTGTTACATGGTGTTTACATATGGGTATCGCATGCAAATATTCTACAATTGGTGTACATAGTATGTGTGTTTGTGGGGAGATGTTACAAGGCTATTCAAGCAGCCGCCGCAAGAGCTCTCTTGGCAGCCTTAGCCGCTTTCTTAGCACCCTTCATGCTCTTGCGAGGGCGGCTCTTTATCACCTTCTTGGGGGACTTATTCAGAAGCCAAGCGTTCATCGGCAGACGAGTGCCAACGAACCTGCCCTCAGGCGTCCAGACCTCAACGACGGGCCAATTGGGCTCATCAAGGCTCCGGGCGGGTTTCGCGGCCATCTCCTCCTTCTTCTTTAGCTTCTCGGCCGTCTTCTTCAGCCTATCGACCTGGAGGAGACCGGCCTGGTTGATCGATGCCGCTTCCATCTTGGCGAAACCATTCTCAGGCTCAGGCTCATCCTCATCCTCAGGTTCAGGCTCAGGTTCCTCGATAAAGGACGGCGCGCAGCCGGCAAACATATCCTTGGTCCGAACCTGCGCCACGATCTCGACCCATCCGCACCCCTCGATGAGGATGTCGGTGGCCACCACGCGCCAGGGGAGGTCCTCGACCTTTCTGCGGCCGACGTCCTTGCGAGTGAGGGGGCCGGCGCGCTCCTTTGTTACGTCGTACTTGAGCTCAAAGGAGCCCGCGAGCTTAAGCTTCTCCGCGAGTCCGGGGGCGGCGATGTTGGGCACGCGGTCGGATTCCCTCGTCTGCTGCTGGAACTCGATGGCCTTCTCGGTGGAAGTCGCGTGTTCGGGGATAGGGGTGAAGTTGTAGGCGAGGAAGACGAGGTCCGGCGTGGTGGGTGTGATGCGAATCAGGCTCCCGAGCAGGAGGGACTGGCCGGGCTTGAGGGACTGCTGCTCGGGCTTGATTCGGTGGTGCATGATGAGATCTTTATGGTGCTCGGGTTTGACGTATCTCTCGAGATCCGATCGAGCCACTCCAGGTAGGTCAATTAACTCGCCCTTGCCGTTACCAAAGGGGATCCGGATAGGAGAAGCCGTCGTGCCTGGAAGAGAAGAGACCGTAGGCATCTCCGGATAATCTATTTCGGGACGAGCAGGAGGCAGTAAAGCATCCACTTCGAAACGATCTGAATCGTTCTCAAAGCTGCCTCTCGCGGCATAATGGGCGCCGTCGCTATCCTCCTCCTTTGCAAACAAGGAGATCTGCACAGGGTTCTTTGAAGGGAGAGATGCCGAGGTGCCCTTTGGAAATACCGAGTCAAACAGCTGACTCTTTCCAACATTGACCTTGCCGACCATCCAGCCCGCACCGCCACGCTGATAAATCTCCTCTTTGAGCGTCTTGGTCCACCAGCCTCGCTGGGCGCTGACACACTTGACGTTGCCCAGTCTGATAAGCTGTCCAAATTTGCCTAGCGACCGGCGCAGAACCTCTCTCAGGTACGGCATGAGCGAGTCCACCTGCTCCTTCTTCGGCGCCAGCAAATCTGACCGTGTGATTATGAAGCTCATGTCGAACTTTCGGTCCTTGAAGTACCTCCCAGCCCTGTTCCTACGGTTCTTATGCTTCAAGTTGGCGTCGAGGACCTGGTGCAGCTTCGGAATGAACGACATTGGGAAGTCGGCGGCGTCAATTACGTGGTAGATGTGGTTATTCTTGAAGGGGGACTCCTCGATCGTCTCACGCAGGGCGTCGACCGTCGGATGGTAGATTGGCTCTCCGGCGTGGTGGTGCACCAACTTGTGGCATCGATCGCAGAGCGGTACTCTCTTTGGTTTGAGACCTGGTGCTGTTGCAATTTGTCAGTAACTACGGTAGACGCAGCACAACAGTAGAATACGCACTTGTCACGTCCGGACCCAGTTCCTCCCCAAAACGCAGCGACTTCGGGTCCAGGCCAAGTTCAGCAAGCTGCTCCTCGCTCATGTTCTGCAGGACCTCATCAATGACCTTGTCTTCCTCCCGTGCCTCCACTTCCGCATCTTCCATGCTACCCTTGGGCGCGAGATACTCTTTCACGGCTTTTCTGCTCAGGTCGTAGTACCCAGCATGCCCGGCCTCCGTCGTTTGGCTCAATGCGCCGCAGCCACTACATGACAGCGGAAGGGTTCTCCGTGGGATCTTGGTTGGTTCGTCAGCAGGAGGCAACGGGGCCGTCGCTGCTGGCTCGGATATCGTAGTCGCCTCGACGTGCATCCAGCGTCGCTGTCTGTAGGGAATGTTGCGATGCGCATCACCAGCCGGCGCAAAGCAAGGTCGCGCAGACGCGGTGGTGAGCGATGGGCAGAGGTAGACCGGGACTTCACCCAAGACGGCCCGGTCTCCAATGCTCATGGCACTCCTGAGCCATCTCGACGATAATGCGCGATGCATCGTTGCAAAGGCATCAAGAGAATGTAGTAAGTTAGGTTCCAGCTTCAGGACTTTTGGGGGTCCTTGTAGCTTTACTACTGAACAAGCACCTAGGAAATTCTAGAAATTTTGGGGGACGATCAACGCCCGAGCTGCACCGATAAAAGTTCCAACACTCCTTATCGCCGGACAATCATTTGCCCCCGTCCCGAAAAGTCCAAGGGTCGCGGGCAATTTTCAGACTCCCGACCGCGCGACTGACATCGAGAAAGTGCTTGGTGTGAAGTGCAGTTTCGAGATACCCCCCAAGAGACTACCGCCCAAGATGACTCGTGTAGGAGCGAGATGGCACGCTCTGAGAGCTGTAGGTTCCTTTAAGCCATTGAAATGTTTATGACGAATTGAGAAAAGCTAACTTTTGGTGAACAGAAGGTACTTACATCCCGCTCGAGACCTACACCCCCCGATGTAGCTCCCAGGAGTAGCTTCAATTGACACCTGCCAGATCCTCAACATCCGCTACGGCCTCGGTGCCGCAAAACTCCCTCCAAATGTCACGAGGATACATATGGAGTTCGCCAGGCGCGTAGATGGCGGCCACTTCGGACCCAAGTTCGTCTCCCTCCTCTACCAGAGCTTCACCACCTCTCTTCAAGGAACACCAAACTAACCATCTCTTTTCCAATCTTCCACAGAAAATTCTGGCGCGACATGCTCCCCCGCCTAAAATACTACAACCCCGCCGTCCCCATGATCGTAAACCGCAAAAACAACAACGAAGGCGCAGCAATCATGTCCGTCTACTTCTCCACCTCAGGCGAACCCCTCGAACCCTCCACCCTCCCGCAACCCCCCTCCTCGGCAATCGACAACTCCAAAGCGCCCGCACCCCTCGAAGGCCTCGAGCGCGTCGTCAAAATCGACATGAAGAACAAGCACTCGGAAGAAATCTACGAACACTTCCTCCAAGAGACCAAGGCCGAGGCCGTGCTTCCCGGTCCCGAGGACGAGGCGGATATGAAGGCCGCCGAGGAGCTGAGGATCAAGGGCGAAAAGGACCGGAAGCGGGTGGCCAAGATCCTCGAGGAGGAGAGGAGGGAGAAGGCTATGCTTGCCAGGGCGCGTGCTGAGGCGAACTAATGATGCTAAAAGGGGGCGGAGGGGGGGAGCAGAAGACCAAAAGCTTATGTACGAGGGCGGGCGTGGAGAAGAAACCGAAAAAAGTGTACGAATATCCTGTACAAAATGTACCAAAAAGAATCTCTGCAGAACGGGAAATGCTCTGAGCCGTACCACGACCAGTCTACTGGCTTGTTGGGCTACTGGACCAAGTCCTGGTCAAGATTACAAACGCTAGTTCAAGAGACACAGAATGATGAGTTGTGGTTGGAAACCGAATGAAATCCTTTCCATTAAGACTACCCATGGACTCGTGCCTATGTTCATCCAAAACCTTGACGCCGCCCACCGCCCAAGAAAGACCAACAAGCTGTAGGTCATTGTGAATCTACCAACCATACCATCTAGATGCATGCTGCTACCCTTTGCAGGGCTGCGGTTTGTCTTTCTGTTAACTCCGATATCGATGCTCCCTGTAGCTCATTTGACACATGATGCGCTTATTTCAAACCAAAGCCTTCGCTCTCGTGCACGGCGGTCCATAACATATGCTCCAGTCTCTCCCTCGACCCATAACGACGCAGGGCCAGCATGTTGAAGCAGGTTCGAGCGATGGGATACCTGTTCTCGTCATCGCCTAGACATGTAATCTTGATTGGGAGAAGAGCAGCACCCATGGCTGGCACTCTGTCGGTACCGGTAATGAAGGAGAGAAGCTTCCTCTGCTCATCAGGAGTTGCATTCTTGAAGGCATCCCAGAACCATCCTATGACTGGCTCTACCCCATCAGGGTTCTTCGAACCCCAGTTGTCGTACTCAGCCACGCCCCTCAGGGCGTCCACGTCGAGTGCCGTATCTGAGCCACGAACAAGCAATTCAATCTCCTCGGGTCGAAACAGCGACAGCGCGTTGCCGCCACACACAGTGTAAAACCCACGTTTGAAGGGCTCAAACTGTCGGGCGACCGCCGTTTCAAGTAGGTACCTGACGTATAGTGTGACGTACTCTGCTCTGTTTGCATTCGTGACTGACTTCCTCTCTCCTCCCGAACACAGTGGGACCTGCATCACAGTTCCGTACTTCTCAATGTCCACAACAAAGTCCAGCTGGAAAGTCGTCTCAACGTCACCGTCAAACTCAAGAAGCTGTTTGAGGCCACTCGCTAAACGCGGGCGATACTCTGCTAGGTCTTCTAGCGTGTAGTTCATGGTTGGCCGAGGATGGGCAGATGAACCTGACGACGAGC